AGTTTCGCATAAATGCACTTATATACCCTTAGTCACAAACCAGAGGAAATATATACCCTGAATTATTCGCCATTTGAATTTGATAAACTCTAATAAATCTTACCCAAAGGACGAGATCGTCCTTCATCGAAAATAAACGCCCCATGGTGATAAAGTTGTAACTATTGGACTCAATATGGCTAGATGGCATTTAAAATAAACATGTGACCAGGAAGTGAGAATATTATAAAGAATATTAGGCCTCGTTTGGTAGGCGGGAATGAGGTGGAATGGAATGGCATTCTCACTTCTCATTCCTTCATACCAAACAAACCAACTTTTTAGATGTTGGAATGACCATTCCCAGGGAATGACCATTCTTACTTTTTGTGGGAATGAGCATTCCAAGTGAGAAGATAGGGAATGGTCATTCCCATTCAAGAGAGAATCAAATCAGTTATTTATTTTTTAATTATACCCATATTAATCAACTGATTTCCACATTAGTAATTCTGACATCCTTTTCATATGCAATATGCATCAACTGTGGATATCATTCTTTATATTTTTTTTGGACCTATGAAAGATGCGATAATCTTTTATTTATTTTTCTTTAATTTTTTAAGACTAAGAAATAGTGAGTATTGTTTAAAAAATATAAATAGAACATACACTTGAGAGATAACATGCGCAATAGTATAACATGCACAGAAATTAGTATAACATATGCATAAATAAAATTGTTTAGTTATTATCATTAATGTTTATTTTTATCTTATTAAAAATATATGTTGTTGTAAGGACATTATTAGAAAATGCGATTTCATTCTCACTTGTGGACAAGTGATACCAAACATGGGAATGAGAACGAGATTTTCATTCTAGACTCATTCTACAAAAGTACCCAAACATGAGAATGGGAATGACCATTCCATCCCCGCATACAATACATTCCATTCCTTCTTCCATTCCATTCTCACTTATGTCCATTCTCGCGTACCAAAGGAGGCGTTAGTGGCAACCAAGCCGAACTTTATAGTACAACAATATAAATTCTCGTTAATGTAAGACTTTAGGGAAAATTGTTTCCAAGCCCCAAATTTTAAAAATCATAAAAATCAGTGTGACCTAGTCCCTCCTACTTTTACCTATGTGTTGCACCCTCCAATTATTAAAAAAATTGTACCCTAGCTCCTCCAGCTCACCTCTCCTCAAGTTTCAATGTATTTTACATCAAAATCCTAACTTTACCCTCAATAGCATTCCTAACGAAGCTGCCAACTCCCCAACCCACTCCAGATCCAACTCCTATAAGCACACAGCAGCCCCTTCCCCTATCCAAGCCAAGTCCGGCCAACCTCAGCCCCAACCTTGCTGATTTATCACCGCCACCACAATACACTCCGCCCAAATGCACGTCACATGTTCGACCTAATGACTGAACACCACGTCCAACCCTTGCACCTCCCAATCTTTGAAATGTCACATCAACCTTCAGCCGACGCTCAGCCTCCAACGTTACACCACCCACATCGTGTTACGAAGCCTCTCTACCCCAATGGTGCACCACCTACACCGCAGAGTTTGACGCAGAGGTGTCGACCATCATGTCGGCGATGGTCAACGAGTTGAATGAGATGGGAGCGACGACGCTATTCATTGTGGCGGAGAAGGGGTATTTGGATATTGTGGTTGAGTTGTTGAGGTAAACGTATAGAGAGAGCTTGGCGAGGAGGAATGAGTTAGGGTTTGATTTGGTTGATCATCAAAATAATTGAGAGGGGGTGTGTTTGTGTTTGTGTGTGAGTTTGTTTGTGCCGCAATTGTTGTAGGATTTTGGTGTGTGTGTGGCGTTGAATTTTATCTACTATCCAACTCAGTGAAGAAAATGGTGATAAGGATAAAGTCAAAGGGAGGTAGATGAGGCTTATCGGGTTATTGGGTTTCGGATCTGTGTCGAATGGTATATCGAACTCGGAGATGGTCGGCGATCGACAGTAGAGGGTGGGGCCCGCCGCTGGAGCAGGATAGTTGGAGGGATGATGAGGGACAAAGGGATGTGGAACACTTTTGTAATGAACCGATCGCCACAGATAACAGGTAAATTCTCAACGTTCATATACACAACTAATTACATAAATAAGTATTTTAATAGTTAATAGGACAAATATACACAGCTATTGACATATATAAATCCTCAACGTTCACATTTTTTGTAGGCGGGCATATACTTATGTTATCTGTGTAACTTAACAAGCTACCAAGGAAATTTAACATGTTATCTGTGTAGCTTAACAGTCTAACTGCGAAAGTTAACATGTTACATGTGTAACTTAACAAGTTAACAAAAAAAGTTAACAAGTTATCTGTGTAACTTAACAATCTAACTGCGAAAGTTAACATGTTATCTGTATAACTTAATAAGCTACCAAGAAAAGTTAACATGTTATCTGTGTAACTTAATAAGTTAACAAAAACAGTTAACATGTTATCTGTGTAGCTTAACAATCTACTTGCGAAAGTTAACATGTTATCTGTGTAACTTAACAAGCTACCAAGAAAAATTAACATGTTACATGTGTAACTTAACAATCTAACATAGTAACTTAACAAGCTAACAAAAGTATTTCAATAGTTAATGACATATATAAGTATTTCAATAGTTAATAGGACAAATTTGTGCATCAATTTTAGTTAATGACATATATAAGTATTTCAATAGTTAATAGGACAAATTTGTGCATCAATTTTATATCACATTTGTATTATAGTTCACATCCCTACAAAAGTATTTCAGTTCATATACATAGCTACTAGATACATACAAAATTCATATACATAGCTACTAGATACATACAAAAGCTATTACATACACCCAAAAGTATTTCAGTTCATACATACAAGTGTTTCACATTCGCAACTCATATTAATCGGCGATCGGTTCGTTGCAAGTTACTCGGTTGTGGCGATTGGTTCGTTACAAAAGTGTTTCACATCCGCCGCCCTCTTCCTTTTGCCCCTCCTGCATCCCTCGCCAACTATCATGCTCCAGCAGCCGGGACCCACCGTCGATCGCCGATCATCTCCTTGTCCGATATACCATCCGACACAAATCCGAAACTCAATAGCCCGATAAGCCTCATCTACCGCCCTTTGACTTCATCCTCATCGCCATTTTCTTCACTGAGTTGGATAGTAGATAAAATTCAACACTTCACATTCACACCAAAATCCTACAACAATTGCTGCATAAACACACACACAAACACAAACACATCCCCTCTCAATTATTTTGACGATCAACCAAATCAAACCCCAACACATTCCTCCTCACCAAGCTCTCTCTATATGTATACCTCAACAACTCAACCATAATATCCAAATACCCCTTCTCCGCCGCAATGAATAGCGTCGTCGCCCCCATCTCATTCAACTCGTTGACCATCACCGACCTAATGGTCGTCACCTCTGCGTCAAACTCTGCGGTGTAGGTGGTGCTCCATTGGGGTAGGGAGGCTTCGTAACACAATGTGGGTGGTGTAACGTTGGAGGCAGTGTCAGCTAAAGGCTGATCTGACATTTCAAAGATTGGGAGGTGCAAGGGTTAGGCATGGTGTTCAGTCATTTGGTCGAACATGTGGCGTGCATTTGGACGGAATGTATTATGGTGGCGGTGATAAATCAGCGAGGTTGGGGCTGAGGTTGGTCGGACTTGGCTTGGATAGGGGAAGGGGCTATTGTGTGCTTATAGGAGTTGGATCTGGAGTGGGTTAGGGAGTTAGCGGCTTCGTTGCCGAGGAGGCGTCTTCGTCGTCGATGTCGTCGTTAATGTCCGTAGCTGAGAACGGCAGCGGAGTCGTCACCAATGTCATCATCGACCAGTAGAAAACCCCAACAAGCGGCGGATCTCGGCGCGAGAGAGGGAGCCGGCGCCGTCACGGGATCGGAGAGGAGGAGAGGAGGAGAGAGTTGAGGGAGGGGGCAGAGGGGGGAGTGGAGGAGGAGAAGAATAAAGAAGACAGGTTGTTGAGGGTAAAATTAGAATTTTGATGTAAAATGCATTGAAACTTGGGGAGAGGTGAGCTGGAGGGGCTGGGGTACAAATTTTTCAAAAATTGGGGGGTGCAACACATAGGTAAAAGTAGGAGGGGCTAAGTCACACTGATTTTTAAAATTTGGGGCTTGGAAGCAATTTTCCCAAGACTTTATGGTATTTTCCTATAATAAGCAGTTTTATGAAGAAGAAAAAACAACGAGGTACCTTTTATGGTAGTTTTGTGAAACCTAGCCTCCATTTTAGCACAGCACCTACTCCAATCCTCTCTCTCCCTTTGAAGTACAATTTATAGACACGTTCTCCACCGAAAAGGGTGGAGAGTCGGTAAAGCTACATTTTTCGTTAGCAAGGCACTAAAATGGGTGATTGTTTGTTTCCCTCAGGGAAAATAGCTCATCTTCCACATGAAACTCTTGATGCTATCATAAGAGGAAACTTTCGTAGAGCAGATGCCACCATTTATGGCGAAAACCCAACAAGCAACAACTTAACCCACATAAATCTTTGAAAAAGGGGCTTATACCTATAACACGTACCCCTAATCCCATTTGCAAATTTACCCCTCAAATCTGAATTTTTGCTAATTTCATTAATGACAAGTAGAGGGTATTTTAACTCAATTGGAAGAGGACCGAGTAAATTAACAAATATATAGATTGGGAGGAAAGTTTTACAACTAGGGTAGATTTGGGCGGTAGAGGCAAAACCCTAAAAAACAAAAGTTCACCACATCCTCGACAACCTTGACAAAATACATAGATTGGGAGGAAAATTTTATAATTAAGTTAAATTTGGTAGGTAGAGGCAAAAAGGCTCCACAAATTTTACCCCATCCTCAAGAGCCTTGACGGCCACAGCGCAAGCTCGTTCTCAGCTCCAAATTATCCCCCTACATATGTCAGAGATCAGCAGCAGGAGGCCTTTCTTCTGCACACACATGAAACATACTTAAAGCGCCCACAACTAAGAAAAAAGCTCATGCAAACATTACCTTATTTTCTCTAGAACCATTACATCAGCTAAATAAAAAAGTTGAGTAAAAAAAAGACTTGGGTACAGAACTGATATCAGCCTCCAGCTTGAATCAGTTTTTGCCTAACACTAGTTCTAAATCTATAAACCCATGACAACATTTGTTTCTCATGCCGGATTTCTAAAGAAAGGATGGTCGAGAGCTTCTCGTGCTGCGAGGCGCTCTGATGGCTCAAATTTCAGAAGGCCATACAATAAATCAGCTAAAAGAGCTCCTGAATAATAATCCACATGCCGTAGAACTAGATCCTGAAGAGAGAGAAATAAATCAGTGATTTTGGCTAATCGAGTCATTGGATCAGAAGCAGCATAAATCAAACTAATGTGCATATAAAATTATGCTCATTTAATCCTATAGGTGAAGCTGACAATTATGCGTACTATGATAAATTTATGCAGCTTAAAAAGACTGAAGGCACACCTTAAGACGATCAAGTTTCCTTACAGCTCTAATGCTTTCTCTAGATACGGCTCCTTCTGGCCAGTTCAATCTTGACCCTCGCCGGAAATACTTTGCGGCAGAGCAACTACACTTGCCATAGAAAAGTGTAATTAAATATTGTGAGATGACGCAATACAAACACTCACCAATAAAATAATGTAATTAAGTCTGCAATAAGTTTGGGTTTGTATTGTCCACATGAGATTCAATAAGGACTCAGGCCAGTTCAAAATTTTGTCATATGAATGCCTGGAATAGGTCATTCTATCATACTTGGGTTCTAAATTACAGCCCTGTTTAGTTTACATCCCATGTTTAGGTTCATCTCCACAAAAACACAACCAATGGCATGAATTGATTAAAGCCTGATGGTATGGGCCGAGTGAGCCCAATCACCAATACAACACTACGCTAATCCCAGATAGAGCACGAGATATGACCTCAAAGTCCCATGCAATTGCTCTTTAAATCTATGCAAGCCTGATGTAATGCACTCCTTGAGGCCTAATGTGTACCAGCCCAACAGGAAAATGGTTAATTATCTACAAAGGCCACTGAAGATGTTTTGACCATTGACACTTTTACTCTCAGGATTAAAATATTCAGGTAAGTGTTACTGGATCGGCCTATAAAATGCCTCCTCACATCCTACTATAGTTCAACTGATCTCTCAATTTCTGTTGAACTGCAAGATTATTTTCCTGGCACATAACCATAAAGCATGAGGACTGAAATGAACTAAGAAGTTAGTGAGGTGATGGTCAACAAAAGTAGATCAAGATAACAATCTTGGAAAGAAATTAAACAGTTGGAGAGTTATGCTTTACAAATATATGGCTGGAAGGTTCAGGAGTGGGGACTTTTTCTCTCTTTATTCTTTTTTCTTCTGCGTGTCTGATGTATGTATGTGGTCTGGAGTGAAGAGGAGTGGTTGTTGAGAAAGAAGGTAATCTAAAACAAGGCGAAATGCAAATGCAGCTCCAGGAGCATTTTTTATTATATTCATTGTGCATTGCCTCGTGAAACAGAATCAAGGTTTGAGTTTGAAAAAGAAGGGGATGACTTGGTACGAGGATTTGGGAGTATACCATGGCACAAGATATATAAGCATTAACATATATATTTATTACTGGGACAGGAGCTTCACAATTTTTTAGTAGTGTATCTTTTAAAGTTAGATGCTTATGCTCGGCTCATAATTCTTTTTGTTCCAATTTACAACTAACTAAACCCTCTATTCATACTATTGCCAGTGGTAGTTTTATCTTTTAAAGTTAGATGCTTATGCTTAATTTATAATTATTGTCATTCCAAATTACAACTAACTTACGTCTCTATCCAAATTCATATTGCTTTTAACCCCAATATTCAGGCAAGCATGTTGATCCAGAACGGTCAAACGGGATGGTACAAGCCAATTTCTGATCATTAAATATTGGCAAGTCATTTTTGAAACTTCTCTTTGTTTCAACTGCTTTAAAGACGCCGTATTTTGTAAGGAAAAATACCTCCTTGCTTTAAAATTTAGGTATTTTTCAACATAGAAAGAAACATATTCATCACCAATCTAATATCGGTTAGCAGCACTACCAGAATGCAAATAAAATGCACCAGATCCCCCCGATCATCTGAAACACTTACTTGGCATTTCTAATCATATGCTCAGGTATTGGTCCCAAAACCCTCTCCATCATGGCCAAGTGCTCTAGATTCTCATGGGTTTGAAATAATGCTTCCCCCTGAAACCATCACAAAGTGTTAAATTTCTACCGAGTACAAGAAAAGATCTTGATATATAATCCAAAACACCAATTCAACCGAGTTCATTGACTGACCGAACAAAGTTCGACAAGTATGCAACCAATACTCCATAAATCGCAAGGATAGTTCCAACCCAGCCCTGAAACAAATGAAATGTGCGACCTTCGATTTAATATGCCAATCAAATACATGAAATTTCAGGATATAGTCACATAATCAAAATGACGCACAAACAGCCCAGAACTATAAAAAGCCACTCAAAAGAAGTATTTTTAGAGTATTAAGAGAACTCAATTATTTAATAGTAAGTAAACTGTGCATATAGAAATCGGGTCATTATAACTTGCACTAAATTTCAAAAACTAAAGCTAAAAAATGACAATAAAGAACATTCTATAGCAGACAAGGAAACACAATACATGGAGGAACGGCACACTTAGTAGTGCAGCATACAATACGATGCAAGATGGAGAATAAATATTATGGAGTCCAGTTAAGGCCCTTAGTAGACAAATTGCAGTCAACAACCAGACATCTCAGCAATGGCACAGGTTTGACAGCAAAAATCAGTTGATAAGAGTAAAATCTAGAGGTTGATAAAGAAATTCTCTCCAGACGAAAAACTGGAAATTGCTAGAAAAGAAGAGTTGCCCAGCCCAAACCATGAGCTGCTGCCATACATACAGTCAATAATTACCTATAACTAGAAACAAATGGCCCAAAAGATGAGATCACGATCAGAAGTTGACATCTACATATCAACAAAAGACACAACGAGTTCCTAAGGTCACTAGAAATGGCCACAGACGAGTTCTTGATCTCTTATACAGGGAAACATGCAGAATCCACCAGACTTATTCAAAGCTCAAAGAAGGAATACAATTTTTAATGCCATCTTGAACTGATACCTATATTCATATTGATAACCTGCATCTCAGAGTCAAGTTAACACTTATTTTTCAGAAAACTAATTTTTACCTAAAATAATCTCGGGGGCCCTGTAATGCCGTGTTGACACAATGGAGCTACGGTCCTGGTTCTCAAAAGCTGTACTACCAAAATCAATCAGCTTTATGGCACTTGACTTAGGCAAGCACCTGAACTGCATCTCATCTTGTGATTTCCTCTGTATCATCTCAAGCATTCATTCAAAATAACTGCTGAGTCCATGCACCTGATTGCAAAAAACTCGTGATTTCTAAAATTGCAAGAGACCAAATACCTTGTGACTGGGAACCTTTATATACTCAGAGGATACTAGAAGAATGTTTTCGGGCTTCAGATCAGTGTGAATAAGTCGTAAATCATGCATATCTACGGTAAAAGAGACATGAGAAAGAAAAATGTCAAGCCTACCACATTACATAAAAAAGAAAGCCTACAAGAACTGCAAGAGAGGTGAAGAAAGTTAAAGTGGACAAAATAAAAAAAAACCAAGAATGATCCACACACATGCTACAGCTTCCAAAAGCTGACGTCCAAACTCCCGGACAAGTTCCACAGGAAATGGGCTGTATTTATTTCTCTTTAGAAAATCATACAAGCTTGGTCCAAGCCTCTCACACACCTGATAACATCATCGAAATTCCATCCAAAGAAAAGTTTCATATTTAGTTATCTAGCATCACAAACAAACCCTATAATGCCAAAAGATATCAAGCATTATTACCTACCGGCTTCCACATCCCTAGATATATCTTCATATTAAAATAGTTTTTAGGTGCGCTAATGCAGAATTATACAGGTTCAGATGTCAGGCTGTACAAACAGTTGAAAAGCAAGGACCACTATCTTCAGCCAGTTCTTCTCCGGTATATATCTATTTATACCTAACAAACTAACAATATTTCCATGGAACAAGTTGCTCCTCTTCCCAAGATTTTCGTATAAAGAGAGAAGTTGCTTAAATGAAGCATTAAACTTTTATCAGACATCAAAAGGTTAATAAGCCATATAACGATGGTGATATGTGATTAAGCTAAGGCTCATTTATATTGCATACTGCCTCAAAGAGATTCACGATTTATAAAGAAAGTCATTTAATCAAAAGATAATATGCGCCAACCAAATGACACAATCAACAGGTGACTATATTCATTAAAAAAAAGGCAACATGCAATCATTGAAACAGCGCAATCATTCATGATTCATAACAGAGCAATCATTGGGCTATAAAACTCGGAGACCTAAAATGTGAGGAATAATTTGCAAGAAGATAGATGGTAGAAACTAAACATCAGTAAAATAGAACCAATACTTACAATGCATATATGATTCCGGTAATCAAACCACCTTTGTATTTGGAGACAGCTGCATGAAAAAGGAAAACAAATGGAATAATGTGTGGAATGAAACCCAGTTGTAAGCATCATTGAACCAAATTGCGTCATATGGACATACCGTGATCCCTCTTTGTCATTCTTAGCAAGATTATTCAGGACATCAATTTCAATCATTGCAGCATGTCGGTATTTGCGAATACTCCTAACTACCTTTATAGCAACAAATTCTCGTGTTTCACGATCCCAACATTCTAAAACACGACCAAATGTGCCTGCAGCATAGGTGTCTTGCTAAGAGATAAATACAGAGTACCAGCATTGAATCTACACAAATGAGATAAGTTTTGAGAAAGCACCTTCTCCAATCTTGCTAAGTATTTTATCTGCATGAACAGAAGAATAAATGCATAATTTTTCTGAACATGTCGCACACAGCACAAGCTTAGCAAACTACGAGAAAAATGCAACCAAATGCAATTTTTTTCCAATAGATGTAAAGAACTTTTATGCATGAATAACAAAAATATGAAAATTGATTCAAAATGTGAGATCAATTCACTTTCTTGATATATGTAGCATTTGAGCATTGAATTAAAGGAGTTGAACACAAGCAGCAGCCAGCAGATCATAAGGAAAAGAAATGCAATCTCATAAGTTAGTACCATCAGAGGATAAAAGCATATTCTAAGGGGACCAAAGGTTACGTGGAAGCAAATAAAAGTAGTGCAGAAAATCTTTGGGATCTTTTTAAGAGAATTAGTCACAAGGATTCTCATTATTCATTTAAAGAATATACATACCATTTGACATTTAAAATTTGGTTTAGCATTCTTCGAGAGGGTGAGCCCTAGCACAACTGTAAAGTTGTTACTTGTCACCTGGAGGTAATGGTTACAATGTCAAAAGCAACCTCTCTGCATATAGGGGGAAGGTTGCGTGCATCTAACCCTCCCCAAAGACAATGGTCGGAGATCCTGCACTGGCCACCCTTATTCTTCAAGGATTGATATTTTACAGACTACCTTAGTGTGTTTTGACAAACCCTTAAAACTGGGCCAGTTTTGGCCCAGTTTCTTTTAGGCCAAAAAGAGGCTTAAAACTTGTTCTTTTTTGAATCACCCCTCCCTTGGTTCAAAAAAGAACAAATTTACCTCACACCGGGCCAGGATCAGTCCTGGCCTAGTTTTGAGCGTTTTGCCAAACACGCTCTTATATTGAGTTGATTAAATGAGTAAAAATGGCTCCTATTTATAAAATACTGAAGGAATTAGATTATAGAAGTTAATTACAAGAGATGACCATTATTCAAATTAATTCTCAATACATTTTTATATAACATCTACAACATGTAGAACATCACAAAATTACAGAACCTGGAAGTGCAATACAATTCTTTTCTCAACATAAGTGTTGGTTCACAATTTAAATTACTGCAGTAAACGAGGCAGCATTCCCTTATTTAGACAGCAACAAAATTGCAAGCATGCCTATTATTCAGATTAATTCTCAATACATTTTTATATAACATCTACAGCATATTGAACGGCACAAAATTACAGAACCTGGAAGTGCAATCCATAATGCTCTGGTCACAGACAACCAAACCTAACATGACCAGAATGACAATCCATAATGCCCATATCAAAAATCCTCTTTTCGGACTCATTTTCAAGAAAATAATAACTAAAGAGTTCTCTTTCTCTCTCGATGTCTTAAAGAACTTGACAATTATTCTCAACCGTCTCCACATTTTGTTCCACAGTTGAATAGTTTAAATTGCACGTAAATTCACCATCAGCTAAATAATTCCTCAAAAAAAACAAATTTTGTACTAAAAATACAAAACTAAAAACAAAAAGAAAGATGAAATCTTACATCTAGGAGTGAGATTTTCTCCAAGATTGAAAACATAGTGACCATCCCTATCATCTGCACGCAACGGAGGTGACGCCCCTCGTCGTTCGCCCTACAAGAATCCAACTTTCCTTCAGAATCAAGAGATATCAAAATCCTAATCGTAACCCTAACCCTAATTTCTAACCTCTCGAGATGGGGCAGCGGCAACGTCCCACGAGAGCCGAGGCCTCTTTCTCGTTCGAAGATTCTCCATATTCTAGGGTTTCTTTGAGAGATTTTGTTGAGGACGCTGGATCTGTGAAGCGATTAGAACTATGACAAGAAAAGATGCAAGAGATTTTTTTTTTTTTGGGGGGGTGGGCGTGTGGGGGCGGGGGGGGCCGGGGTGGATTTTTTCGCGCGAGGGATTAGGGTTTGCCGTGCCTTATACATTAACGCGGACCACAGCTAGCTTGATGAGTCAGCAATGGGTGAAAATGGGCTCATGTCGGTTTCGAGAGTGCAGGCCCAATTCTTTGCCGACAACTAAAAGTCCGTTCGTGCTCAATTATGGGGAAGGAGACATGGATTGGCTCAATGACGCCCACTAATCCGGTCCAAAAACACCCTGATCCTCACTAGGGTGAGCAAAGTTCGGTTCAAACCGAACCGGTCGAAATTTAACAGCTCGGTTCGGTTTTTATTAGAGTTCGGTTCGGGTCGAACTGAAGTTTTTTCAACCCGAACCGACCGAAATGACCGAATTGTATCAGTCATTCTAATTACTATTTACATCCACTTAAACCCGACTCATTATAGTTCATACAGAGTTATTTCTCTGCAGCTTGATATATTTTTCTCTCACGCGACCTGATAGCGATAAAATACCCCAACAATAGTGTCCTCTCCAATTATAGGGCTTTTCATTTTCCCTAGTTCTCTATCCCTCTCTATTACATGTTCGCTTCTTCTACTTTGGACCAATCCACTTTGGAGGTAAGAAACTTAAGCCATAATGTTGATTCTAACATTTTCCTGATTTTTCTCCTCAATTGATACATTTTTGGATCAGCCTTCTCTTTGGATCAGACTTATAATTTTATAGAAACTATACCCAACATCCAAGTTATTACATGTTTTTATTTACTTTGTCTATCGAATTGAGATCACTTTAATTCTTTATGTAAGTTTTCTCTAAAAAAAATTTATGTAATCTTTGGTAGGAATAAGATTTTGATTTCTACATCTAATATCAGTAGTATTTAATAGTTTATGAATTTTAATAAATTAAAGTGTAAAAGACTTCTTTCTTCAACAACAGATTAAAGGTGAAATTGAATTTGGACATAACATTTGTACCTAAGTGAAAACTGAACAAATCGACTCGAACCGAACCGAACCGACTTGAATCAGTTCGCTTCGGTTTTGAATGATAGGCAGTTCGGTTTGGTTTGGCCAAATTTGGCAAAAAACCGAACCGACCGACCGATTGCACAGCCCTAATCCTCACAACAAGCAACGAGGGGGGCAAAAAGGCCAAATAGCACTTAGAATACCAGCTAAATAGCACTTAAATACCTTATAGTTTCACTCCTTTAGCACTTATATACCCTTAGTGGTACTTTATATCATTTATATACCCTTAGTTCGTCAAAATTTGTACTTTGATACTTTATATTTTGCAAACGTGAAAATTTTCATCTGAAAATTTTCATATAATATTCATATGTTAATTTTGGAGCTTTTTAACCATCAATATTTATTAAGTTACTATTAAACCTACCCAAATTCTAATTTAAATGAATCATAATTCTATTTCAAAAATAGAATTTTAAAAGATTTAACAATGAATTCAACAAACTTAATAGAGAAAAAACTATAAGAATAGCATATAAATATTATATGGTAACTTTTGAATAAAAAATATCACGTTTGCAAAACATGTTGGAAACTTATTCATGAAAAGGCAATTTTGCCTTTGTGAATAGTCCCACATCGGAAAATGAGATGAATAGTAAAGGGTATATATTCTACCACACACGCGCGCGCGCACGCACGCCACGCCACGCCTCGCCACGCCCGCCCGCACGCCACGCCGCGCCTCGCCCGCACGCCGCAGCCGCACACCTTTTGCTTCTCAAGCCTTCATTTTTGCACGTTTTACACATTTTGTAACGGCTGCATGCGGGTAACGGAAGCATTAACCGTGCGTAACGGTCCCTTGGATTCAGCGGGGGTTACACCTTTCATCACCTATAAAAGGAGGCTTGGAGCTCATTCAGAATGACACCAACGAAGAGGAAAATCTCTAAACTCTCTTCTCTTCTCTACTCTCTTACCTCCAAGAAATTTCGGCTACATTTTACTGGGCAACCGTTTTCATCTGAGCATAAGCTCTGTGTCTCACGCCCGAGTGCAGAGGCCGGCCGATTCCGGCGATTCTGGGGGTTTTTACCACTAGGGGAGAGAGGACAAACTACGCCAGGGCGATAGGCGGGTCCTTAATCTTCTAGGGCAGTGATATCACGACTGCTCCCAATCAGGCCTGAAATTTCTAACTCCTTAATTTGTTTTATATTATTATTGTTTTTGACAGCAATCTAGAAGATTAAGTAATAATTCTTGCTGTTAAGTTAATTAAAAAAATATATAAAAATAAAAAAAATTTACTGTTCACCCGAATTTTATATATTTGTTGTATTAGTTAATTGTTTTAATTTGTTGCATCTAAATTAGTTAAAAAAAAAATATTATTTCTCTGCTGCTTCTGTGCTCAAATTCAGTATCTGTCATAAACAAAAAATCTTTAAGTGAACCGGTTCAAGTTTTCTTGGATTAGTTGGTGTCTAAGGAAAGGTTTAAGGGTTGCGTAAAGCGCTCTGCAAGAAACGAGGTACTTAATCGATCATTGATCAACCTCTAGTACTATCCTTACCTGGCCAAACTACCCGAGTAAAACTTTAATCTTTTCACTTTTAGAGTTTTTGGTTAAGAGCAGGTTTAATTAAGTTTCTGGTCTAGTAATATTGACAAAATCCTTTTTTATATCAGATTACATCTACCTAGACTAGTAAACTTAAATTGGACTTATGGCAATTCCTGATCATTCAAAAAGTGTCAAACCTGAGAAGTTCACCGGTGTTAACTATAAACGGTGGGCTAATCAGATGAAATACTGGCTTACTACCTTAGGTCTTTTATCTGCTATTGACACTTCTGAGTCATCTTCTAGTGGTTCTCAACCTTTGACTCCTGATCCTGCTCAACCTGCTCCTTCCACTTCTGGTTCTGGTGCTAGCTCCTTTTCTAGCTCTATGAAACCAGAAGAAATCAACTATCATTGTTGTCATAGGATTCTTAGTGCACTTGCAGACAACCTTTATGACATATATTATGAGTTCAAAAGTGCAAAAGAACTATGGAATGCTCTTGAAGCAGAATATGGCTATGATGATGCCGGAATTCTGCGTTTCACCTCCTCCTCATTCAATAAGTTCACAATGGTTGATGACAAGCCCATTAATGAACAAATTCATGAATTCCTAGATTTCCTCCGTCATCTCCAATCAAAAGGAAACACTTTTACTGACGATTATAAAGTTTCCTGTTTGATTGATAAACTTCCTCCCTCCTGGTCTAGATTTGCTGGAGATCTCCGACACAAGCAAGGAGATCTAACCTTAACTGAAGCCCTCAAGGCTATTCGTATTGAAGACCAGCATAGGCAAAATTCCAATACCAAGAATGAAACAAAAGCTAAAGTAAACTTGGTAGAGGATAAGCCTAAATCTAAGAATTTCAAACCCAAAGGGAAGAAATTCAAGAAAAATCAACAATCTTTCAACAAATCCTCCTTCAAACCAAATCCCAATTCTTCCAGCCATAAGTCTGATGAGAAGTTCTGCTTTGTCTGTGGTAGAACCAACCACATGGCTCACAACTGTTTCTTTCGGAAGAAGGAACCGGCCAAACCTGCCCCTAAAGGAAATGGATCCAACAAAGTTAATATGATTGAAATGAATCCAACCTCCTTCAGGTTAGCCTCTTCATCTCATCTTGTAAATTCTCTAACTTCTTCCACTGATTGGTATTTGGATTCCGGAGCAAATATCCACGTCTGTAATGACCGCTCTTGGTTTTCAAATTATCAGGAATCACGTGGAGGAAGCATAAGCTTAGCAGATGACTCCACTAATTCAATAATAGGAAGTGGACGTATAGAGCTCACCATGACTTCTGGGAAAGTTCTTCATCTGCAAGGCGTTTATCATGTTCCTTCTCTCCGTCGCAATCTGATTAGTGAATCTCTTCTTCTTAGAGCTGGTTATAGGATTGTAAAAGAATCCAATAAATTTGTGATTACAAAGAGTAATGTTTTCATAGGAAAAGGTTTTATCTGTAATGGCCTTTTCAAACTCAATGTAATCAATTCCAGTTCTAATGAAATTTCTGAGTCTTCTGTTATTCAAATTGTTGAGTCTTGTGATGTTTGGCATGGACGACTTGGACATGTTAATTTCCAAACCTTGCAGAGAATGAGTAAATTAAACCTCATTCCTAAATCTTCTCATGATCCCTCATCTAAATGTGAAATCTGTGTTCAAGGGAAACACACTAAAAAACCCTTCAAGTCTATAACTAGAAACTCTGAACCCCTCGAATTAATTCATAGTGATGTGTGTGACTCTAACCGAGTTCTCACCCGAGGGGGTAGGAGATATTTTGTGACTTTTATAGACGATCACTCCAGATATTGTTACACCTATCTTCTCAAAACTAAAGATGAAGTCTTAGATAGGTTTAAGGTGTTCAAAGCTGAATCTGAGAACCAACTTGACAGGAAGATCAAGATTCTAAGATCTGATCGTGGGGGGGAGTATACCTCAAATCATATGACTGAATATTGCCAAGAACACGGTATTATTCATGAGGTTACTGCTCCCTATACACCACAGTCTAACGGGGTAGCTGAACGAAAGAATAGAACCCTAATGGACATGGTGAACTGTATGTTACTCAGTTCAGGAGCACCTGAAAATCTCTGGGGTGAAGCTCTTCTTTCTGCTTGCTTCATTCTCAATAGGATTCCCCAGAAATATTCCGATACAACTCCTTATGAATATTGGAAGGGGAGATCTCCTAATCTAAATTTCTTCCGGGTTTGGGGTTGCTTGGCTAAAGTAGCTATTCCCGAACCTAAGAAGAGAAAAATTGGTTCTAAGACTGTAGATGCTGCTTTTATTGGATATGCACTTGATAGCAATGTTAACAGATTTTTAGTCATCAAATCTGAAATCAGTGACATATCCAACAATACCATCATTGAAGCAAGAGATGCAGTCTACTTTGAAAACATCTTTCCTTTCAAATCTAAA